ATTAACTAAAACAAATATTTATATAAAAATAAAAACTTTTTAAAATTAATTACTTTAAGCAAAGCAAACAATATGTTGTTTCTTTAACTATGCTATTGTTCAACACGCTCTTCCTTAAAAGATGGTTTTTTTTACTTAATCCTACCTTTTTCGAATGAAGATGACTCAAAGAGCTGAATTCTTCTTTTTCCCATATCATTTATTCGTGAACTCATATTTTTGAAGCACTTTTGATTGAACAGTCCGATTAAAATTATAAAGACAAATATTCGAAAGATTTTATTTTTGTTACATTACACTTGATCTTTGAATTTATCTAACACGATTCGTAATGTTGGCCTAATATTTTGGCAGTTTAAATTAATAACTAAAAATGAAGTAATGCCAGAAATATCGTTCTTATCCATTTTCTTAATTCCATTTTATAGATTTTTTTAAAAATATATCAAAATTTGTATAACCTGCACTTTATTAAAATATTGATTCTCTTTTACAGTAAGTCTTATTAGAAGTCAATAGATTATTTAAACTTTTAATTTGCGCACAGATAAAAAAAAAATTTAATTTATAAAATGGTCAAAAAAGTAAATACGATCAAATCTGTTTTATATATTCAACTTTAATTTCGTAACGATAAGTCTGTAAAATTACTAAATACAATAGCTTTTCGGTGATTGAAATCAGTGGCTTAACCTGTCACAGGGTCCATATATATATATAGTTGTTGGTAGAATTACTGAATTACGGCATTTTACCACTTGGTAGAATTAATTACGGCATAGTATCTAATTGCCGTAAAACTTTTGTGCCGTAATGCCGTAATGCCGTAATATCCTAATTAGAGATTGAATTTGTATAAATTTAAATGTGTTGGATTATAATTCATGTCATTTCTAATTAATAAAGTCATTGCTGGCAATAGATAATCATGTAGTTCAGATTGCCAGCAATGACTTTGTTAATTAGAAATGACATGAAGTATAATCCAACACATTTAAATTTATACAAATTCAATCTCTAATTAAGATATTACGGCATTACGGCATTACAGCATTGCTACTGTGAGCGGTAGGAAGGCGGTGCCGGAAGCTCGTTAAAGTAGGTGGTCGATGTGCGCAGTAACGGATAAACGGCTATGTCGATCATCTACCTTAAATGTGTTTACCGGCAGTATACACTGTATCAGCTGTATACTTGGTATCGTACTGATGATTTATATCGGTGGGATAAGGGGGATTAACGGGATCAAAAATATAATTAAAATAATCATTATAAACATTATGATCAGTATAAGTAGCATAAACATTATAAGTGGTATAAGTGGTATATTACAAATAAAATGTATAATGTGCCCTATGTAAATGAAGATATATAATAAAGGCTTCGAGCCCTCCAAGAACAGTTCAGTTAGTGCTTAACAAACATTTCGCCCCATAATAATTCTCTGTTTCATTATATAATACAAACCATACCTACAATCATCATTATACACTCGCCAAATATAACACGCCTCTTCGACTAAGCCTGACTTGTAGGTTACACGACATACCCGTTTGTCAAGCGACTGACTCGCCGTTTCGCCAGTGTCAATAGGTAGTGACATTTTGCAGTTTCATTAAATATACGCAAGTTCAATTGGCTTTTCATTGAGAATACGGATTACTCAAACAAGGACAAAAGTAGATGGAAACGATAATATAGCATCGAAATCTTGAACAGAGACCAACATACAAGAGCGTCAGGTATTTATTCATTTGGAATAATTATGTGGAAAATTTTATATAGTGTGAGCCCCGAAATTTATCCTACCATTATCACGGTTACCCGTGATTGATCGTCGCATGTAGGACCCATCGCCTACCCGAGTAATTGGTCACATGAAAAGTAAGATTTATCTTACTTTTATTACTTTTATTACTTTTGTTACATTTATTACATTTATTACTTCGGGTAGAACGACGGTATATGGGGCATTCGGGTTTTAGTTATTATGGTGGGGAAAGGGGTTTTAAGAATAATATATTGTAAATAGATAATGTAGAGGAAATTAACCTCGAATGTAAACAATACTTTTATTATAAATAAAGGGCTTTCTGCCCAGGGGGAAGAGGTAGGAAGCATACCCCCAAGTAAATACCTTTTCGCATAATAAACTTAAGTATCGGACCCATATTAAAAGGGAACTATAACACAACCCAAACTGAAAACTATCGTTAAAACCCATCGTCATCAACTATCGTTCGCCATTATTAAATCACTAAACCGCATTTTGATCGTTCGCGTAAATCACGTGATCAAGCCGTTAAGCGAAGAGAAGGACTCCAACCCGATTCGACGTATCTAACCTCAGGTTAAAGAAGTAAAGAAAGGACAAGAGAAGGCAAGGGTTAATAGAAGAATAGGTTAAAGGAAGGACTTAGAAAGAAGAGAAGAGTAGTACTTACCTACGGATAAACCATCCAGCCAAATCAAACAAGCCTATTTCGACTTAGCCGCCGTATGTTACACGAGGATTGGAAAGAATTAGCGACAGACTCGCCGATTTACCGAATTACAATAGTAAATCCGTATCTTTTAGTCAAGAATTTTGGAACACAACTTCAAATGGAAATATGCTGTAATAATTTGCAACCAACTATTATTGAGAACACCCCACAATATTGCATTCGAATGTTCGAAAAAGCTGCTAATTTGAGTCATACTGGAGGAACATTTAATTGTTGGAAATTGTTATTAGTATAATGAACGAACGTAAAACCACTATATGCTATCACAAAGCTGCTGATATGAATCATGTTGACGGATTAATTAATGTCGACTACTTTTATTGTTATGAAATTGGTGTTGACACAAATGAACATGTGGCATTCATTTATTTTCATAAATCTGCTGGTTAAAGGAATAAATAACAGGATTGAAGTTGAATATAAAGTTTTATCTTGATGGAATTAGAGTCAAGAAAGATGAATATAAGACATTCATTTTTTATCAAAAATCAGTATATATAAAGCATGCTAAAGGAACATATAGGTTTGTTATTGTTATTATGAAGGTATCAGAATAAATATAAGGTATTTCTTTATTATCAAAAAAGTTATCAAACATGAAGAATGCTAGTGGATTAATTCATGCTAGTGTTATTATCGAAATGGAATTGAAAGTGGTAATATTATTAAAATTTTGCAAAAAAGAAAAAGGAATATGTATACAGTAATTAGAATTTTTATTAAATTAGAATAAAAAATAACTGTTCAGATATTTTTTATTTATTATTATAGGTTTTTTTACTTAGATAGTCTTGCTATTAATTTAATTTAGAACACTATGTTTTATACAAAATATGTTTAAACCTAAAACTAAAAGTATGACATTCAATAGTTGCTTTTATAAACATTTACAAGTGACTTGCTAGTATCAGTTAGGTAAAACTAAATATAATAGCAAGTTATTGTTTCAAACTTAATATCATATCTAAAAACTTATTTGATTATTACTCTACAATAGATATTACCAATCTAATAACATTTTTTATAGAAACATAGAAGAAAGAAAAAATATATATATATATATGTATATATAAATACAAAGATATAAGAAAAAATAAAAATAATAACCCAAAAAATAAAAAAAATAAGAGAATATAAATACTTATATTTATACAAATAGTTACAATTATAAGTCTGCATTAGGTTTTTAAAAATTATAAATTACTAAATAAAAAAAAAAATTTCTACTAATTCTATTAAAATATATAAACAAAAATCATTTAAAAAAATTTATAATTTATTGGTATTGTAAAAAAGTATTAGTTAATCTTAGAACAATATTTAACAGTTTTTTAACTACTTGAGATATATATAAATTCTTTTTTTTTGAATATTAAAGTGAGGCCTTGTCCTAAACTTTATTAACAATTGAGTGTCTAACTATTACAAATTTTTACTAACTATATTATAAATATTAAACTTAAACTATATACAACTAAGTATAATTTATTTATAACCTAAAACTACTAAAGCAGTTTGTGTTCTATATACATATTAACTAGATTTTTTATTCTATTTTTTATATCATAATGTCTTGAAATGTATAAAAGACTTGATCTCTCTCTCGTAAAAACATCCATTAACAACCCAACAATTAGAGACTGGATTCGAGACAACTCGTAGCTTAAAAAACCTAGTCTTGACTTGAGTTAATTTGAGTTAAGACTGTTATTTAAGCTACGAGTTGACTCGAGTTCAGTCTCTACCAACAATAAATAAAGAGTAATCGTGACTTTATACACGAATAACTCGAGTACTTTATTGAATAAATCATAAATTGTTATATGACTACTTATACATTCAGCTGTTTTCCTCTTTCGTAATTGCAAATTACATAATCATCTTAAAATGCAAATGCAATGAACCATATACTTAAGCATAAATACGATAGTTGCTATCGACCGTCTAACATAACCATCACTAAAGTAAATTAGTTATACGTACATGAGTATTCAAGTTTTATTGTTAAAATATGTAATCATGGCCCAACAGTATCAATACGTTATATTATAAAAAGTAATTGATAGTTTTTATATATTTAGCTAAGCTTTATAAATACCTATCGTAGATCGTATACTTTCTTTTAAAAATTTTATATACAGGTGTAACTACGCCAAATGGCAGAGAATTAGGAGGCTCACTACTGGAATACATACCGATAAGATTAACCTTAAGTGGACCTAAAGAAAGCACATCAGTAAACATGTACACAGGTGCACCATTATCCACAGGCAACCTTATCTGGCCTGTTACTATCATATTCTCATATATAAACCCGTTAGAATTAACCGTCTAATCGATAGATCTTATCTCAGCACATGTGTAATATGTGATATACTTCTAACTGGATGATGGAATCATCTGGATGTATAGTACCGGCAATTGCTAGTTCTGGATACTCTGGAGAAGCTGTATTTACTATAAATGACTTGACGTTGAAGTTACTGGTTTCTCTCAAGATGAATCCTCTATCAGTTCCATTGACATCATTGGTCCGATAAGATTTTCAGGCAAGATACTATCGTGTTCCCAAAATGGAGAATAATAAAAATCAATAACCCTGTGTCTACTCGTAGGGCCATTTATTCCACAATTCCCGGCGGTCACTAAGTATTTCAAGCCTCCAAAATTCACCCAGAAAGCAGCGGTACACTTGTAACCACTACGATAAGTTAAGCCGCTTCCGCCTAAGAGTTCAACGTTTATTGCACGAGATTCTGAAGTCGATGGATTATGCGAATCAAAGGCCACTTCTTCCGTAGTTTTGCTAACATCGACTATAATTGGGTTAAGTTTTTTGGCATTGTCGATAAATTCTTACTGTCAGAATTAGTTAAATATATAATTATACTATTTTTTTTTGTATTCTTTGCTTATTACGTAACCTTTAGCATTATATTGTTTTGCTAAACTAGTTAATTCTTGAAAATCGGAATTTAATTTAACTAAAGAATTACTAACATTTACAAATGGCAAATAATTTAGATATGGTTTTATCGTAGCGTTATTTGTTATGATTTCTTTCTTAGAATCGTCTACTGTATTAATAATGATTTTATTTTGTTTTCAAATCTATATAAGATCCACCATAGATTGATTCATCTAGTAATGGAATTAATAGACGGTTCCCCTTATTTAAAATTCCTCTTTAGCCAATAAATCAGGTACTTTACTTTTTGGTACATTCAAACGTTTTGTTAATAATGAGCACAGGTAAAACTATAAATATTTTCCAAAGCCATTATATCAGAAAACCTTTGTAAGAAATTACCTTTTCTAACATTTTTCTAAACATATTCATTCAATAAATTTAAGTAAGTGCAAATGTTTTCATGTATCAAACTTATGATGTAATGTGTAACTTTTATTGCGGTATTCCAAATGTAAATTCAATGATGTTTTTCAAAAGTTTTTTTATTAGTTATTCAGGTGTAACTTCTTAAATTATTTTTAGAAAATGTTTATAATATAAATAATTATTTCAACTATTTTCTAAAGATTATACTGATATTTTATTATATGAAAGATGTGGAATATACACATTTTATTTCTAAATCAAAGCATCAATACTACATGCGAATCTTATCAAATGTGATATTATTAATTACATAATATTAATCTTCATCATAAAATTCATTGAAATGCTCATATTCGCTTTGATCAATTTGATTCCATGCCCAAATCGGAAGATCCTTTGGCTTTGCAGGAATCAATGTTTGCATATTTATCCACCTTGAATAATCCATTTTAATAATTTCACGTGGCATAGGGGTAGTATAAGAATGATGGCCTCCAGAATTTAATTTTTCTACTCGAATTCATTGAATTACTTCATCTGCGAGATTGCGAATATGAATTCCCTATAATTAAGCATTAGTATAGTTTTTTAATTTTTTATATTATATAAATGAATATTCGTACATATTACAATACCTCATTACTTAACTATGGAAGAGCAGGTACCAGTAATTTCTTCCTAGATAATTCAGAAATACGTTCCTCTCCATACAGAATAGCTATCGGTAATTTTTCAATATCAGATACTTCTGGAGATGTTGCTTCAAAGGAAAATAACTTCTCTACCTTACTTTTAAGGTGATTTAGTTGATTTTCAGAAATCTTGCTTAATGCGGCTAGGTGATTAGATGATTTCTAAAAAAAAAAAAAAAGATTAAATAATACTTATTTAAGTGCTGTATTATAATTATATTGAATATATTACAGTATCACATCATTTACGACATCGAGCATGCTGATCATTCAAAAGCTTCGCAGCAGGAGAAGTATTTCATTCCTTTTTTAAGGTTTTAAAATAAGTCTCAGCAATTTCAGTAATTGTAATTTCATTCCACTTCTCATTTGTTTTTACAAAATATTTAAAATATTAAGGATTAATATAATTTTTTAAATAATAGTTAAAAAAAATAAATACATGTTTCTTCAAACTAGGCATCAAATTCTCTAATAAAAAGATTGATATAATTTTGGGTAATCCTTTTGTTTTTTCGATTTTTAGGACCAAGGTCAAAGTCATAAATATATCTATGATTAAGTATTTGGGATTCAGAATCCTCAAGATCCTCAAATCCATTAAAAAACTGCATCTTGTTATGAATTTTTGAAGTGAGTATAGGATTTGCTGTAGTAACAGCACATAGAGAATTATGTGTTGTATTTAAAACATTATTATTGTCATTATGATTCTGAATATATGATAATATGCTATTTACAGTAGTTTGAAGTACTGATGTTGATGCTGAAAAATTCTCTAATACAGTTGTAGTGATTAAAGTATCTTTGATACGTTGTATTTTAATTCCATGTTTATTGGTAAGACATTGTATAAAGGTTATAAATTCATTCTAATTTTGTTCATAAGTATTGAGGCGACATTTTAAAGAGTCAATAGATTTTTTGTTGTTTCAAGTTGTTTTTTACATCTGAAGTAGTTAAAATGGACTTCACTTCATTTACAGTTTGGGTTAAACCTATAATGCTTATAGAAAGAGTACTTAAAGTGACTTTGTTTGCTATAAGAATATTTAGTATAGATTAGAAAAATGAAAATAATTAAAATTAGCATAAACGAATATATATTGTTAGTTTAAATCTGATGTAATAATTTAATATCAAAGAATTAATCAATATTAAATATTATATAATTAAATATTATACAATAGCGATAAATAAAGAAAATAAAATGAATACAAATGATTATATTAAAATTTTGCAATTTAGTAGTATAACAATGACAAATTTTTTCTTGTTTCCAGAAACCTAAATCCATTACTTTTAACAAATCGACCAATAATTCTTTAAATTGGTAATATAGTCTTAACTTCTCATTCAGTAAACTGATCTTCTCATAATTCAGCATGATAACTTTCATCTGCATTTGTAGATAATATGTTTTTTGAGATATTGTCATGTGATTTGATATAAAAGTATGTTTGGTTTTGTGAATCTCTTCTGTACTAATCAATTATGGCAAGTTAATGACTAGTTGGTATTGTTGAGTTTGGTAAAAATATATGATGTTCAAAAAAAATTTTAATTATTCCTGGCCAATTGATCCTTTTTTCATCATCTAGTTGCCATTATGCAAATATATTCGAATTTAAATTAGAGCATGAAAAAAATGAACTATATGTTTCATCTCCAAGTCTAAGAGCTGTTGCTCGGCAGGCTGTTGAAGAAACAAGAATTGATTGTTCAGATTTTGGTACTTGATTTTCAGTATAAAAGCTGTAATTCATATAGATATTTGAATAATATTTAAGAAGAAACCTGATTATTTTAGTTGATAGGATAATTTCATGAAAAGGTCCAATAAAATGATCAGGAAATTGTTCTAAACCAGTCACAATGTGGTTAATTAATCCACCTAACATTGCATGAAAATCCAATGCCTTCTGAACTATAAAATTATAATGGCTTAAAGTTCCGGTTTTTTCAATCTTAGTTTGAGCAATTGAATTCAATGATAATAAAAGTTCTTGAGACAAGTAATGATAGGTTCTTGTCTTAATTTGTTGAATATAAATTTGATGATTAAAATTCTCAAGTACCTCTAACTCCATATTACGATTTGAGTTAGGAAATAAGCCAAGTTCTCTAAACATGAGTAAACTTAAATAAATAATTGTATAATTATTATAATTACTGTAATTATTATTTTATTACAGTCATACAAGAGTTATATCATCCTTTTTTTTCTTTAATTTTTTAGAGATACAAATATAACTCAATATATAAACACATAAACAAAAAAAATTTATTCTACTCAAATATGAGAATATAAACTAGATATAACAGTATTTAAAAAAAATAAATACAACTCACTCATTATAACATTCATAAGCAAAGTACCAGAAAGAATACCATGATTCATAATCAAGCATACAATCTCGTAGATGTTTGTGTAAATGCATATTAGGAGAACAGAAATGTTTACCATAAATTCATTCAGCATATTGTAAGAACACCATTATGGCTGCATGACCAGCCTCAATTTCAGCTTCAGTTATAATTCTTTGGCTCCATATTGAAACTGCAGTAACAAATACTTGCCAACATCACTGATCATTATTATCAAGAAATTGATATAAAATATAAGTTGAATAAACTAAAACCCATATTTTTCACTGGTCAGCCATAAGTGTATCAAAACCTGATGTAATATTAAAGTTTATACATCCCATGTTGACTGGTAAAGGAATTGCATCAATTTGATTTTGAATTTTATACAATTATTTAATGCTAAGTTTTGGTGATTCATTATTTATCCATGCATGTTGTACTATATGTTTACTTGTACCTAAAAATATGTTATGCATAAGATCAATTGTAGTAAACCTGGAAATATCAATATATGGTAATTCTAGAAAACAAGTCCATCAGATTCCATGTTGTTAAAATAATTTTTTTTGTGTTGTTGAATCACTAATTTTATATTGTAATACTAATTGTTGATGTTCAGCATTAGTCAATGGTGAATCTTCTTGAATTTAATCAGAATAATCAAGTTTAGAAGTCTCTGGAAGGCATAAAAAGACTCTAGTATATTTGCTACAAACATGTTTTGAAGAATGTGAAGCTAACCCTGTAACCTGTATGAATAACAAAAATAATTAATAAAACTCAAGCTTAATTGTTAAATAATTATGAAATATGATACAACAATATAAATATTATTAGATATTATAATATATACATTCCTTATGTGCAGCTGGTATATCACATGTAATTTGAATCAATGCATAGCAGAACATATGCCCAATGGGATATTGAGTAGTTTTGAATAGTTGACCACTCCAAAGTTGTTTTAACTCATTAACCAGTGACTGAAGATAATTTTGTAATTGACTTGTGTTTGGTTCCCTTGGGCTGGGTATAATGCCAACAAGAATAAGATTTTCACTTCGATATCTAATATGTCTTGGAAAATTGAGAACTGTCATATATATTGGTGCACAACTTCGTGTGACCTGACTATATGGCGTATACCAATCAAGGTTAAGAGCCAATCCAATTTGAACATCTGCCTTATCTCCTACAAAGAACGGTTGCTTTTTCTCATCTAAAAATTTCTTCTAAACTTTTCCATCATAGATGTCACCTAGTACACCTTTTTCAACTTGTTGTTCAAATAGTGAACCCATTAATTGTTCATTTGATTCATCAGCTAATAGTGATGTGATTCTTGCAATAATAGATTGGTAAGGATAAATTGCTTGAGGCTAATATATAAGGTTTATACAGTACTGTAGCATCCTTTCAAAAACAAATTTGTGACACATGTATTGATACTCAGCTGATCTTATGACTTCGATCTACTTCGATCTTTATTACTGTAGGAACTACCCATTGTATAACAAATAATTTAGGCGGAAAATTAAAAATTCTGTACGTAGTACCATATGCATTTATTTTTCTGGTTGTTTTTATGTGACCACCTAAAATTCTAATAATTCTTTGTCTGATGTTTGAAACACATACACAAATTGATATTTAAATATTGTATTCGGATAATCTAAAGCTAATAAGGTAACCTTACACATTATTTTTATGTATAGCTAGATTTATATTTTATTGAAATCCAAACTGTAACAGTAAATCTATTGTTCGATGATAAAAAGAATACTATTAATAAAATTTTGAACAGTTATATGTGACACACTCCTCATGAAAATAAATAAATTCGTCTGTCTATGCTTGATTTGAACCACTAGAAATAAATTTTAAAATTATATCGATATATGTATTTTTAAATGAATTTTAATATGTCTTTAAATAAAAGAGATTATATAGAGAAAAATATTAAATTATTAGATTATGATTTTGAGATAGAGCGTAAGATTGATAATGGATCATTTGGAAGAGTTTGTTGCATTAAAGGCTTTTCATAATGACCTTACTGACATTGATGAAAATTTATTTAATGGATTTATTCGAGAGGTACGAATTATTTTAAGCACCTTGAATATCTCGAATGATAATTATTGATTACATTTATTAAAAGATTAAAATAGTTACTAAACTTGATCATAAAAATATAATCTAATTCTTTGGAATTACTCAAGACATGTTAACATTATGCGTTGGATGAATAACTTATTAAATATTCAATTAGAAATTAAATTGGATCCTATAAGAGAAGCATACTGCATGGTTTTTCAACTCACAAACAACGGAAACCTATGAGATTATTTTGAATGAGCATTTTCCTAAATTGAAATGGTCAGATAAAATTAGAATGGCATAGGAAATTGAAATGAGATTTATTATTTGCATAGTATGAAAATTGTACAAGAGTTTGCGCCTTTTTTTTTGTCTTTGTTAAATTCAAATTGATAATTTATTTTTTAAAATCCCAAATATGCCAGTGTTTCTCATTTCGACATTGAGTGATTAATTTTCTTCCTTTTCAATTCTAATTTATATAGACTTCAAAATAATCAATACTAAATATCAAAGTTAGCCAGAAAATATACACTAATTCTGGTTTATAAACAAAGCATATTTATTTCATCTGAGCTTTTACGTGTTTCAATTATGTACAATATGCCCCTGATCATATTTTTTTTAGGGCTGAGTCCGATGAATAATAAACTCATAAGCTCGAAGGATTATTTCCCTTAGCGACCTCATATGAGAAAATACAAACATATTTGGAAATAATCTGTAATTAAATTATAAAATTCAAAATGATCCATAAAATAGTATTATTATGGATTAAGTTCAGATCCCAAAACTAAATTTATTAAACCTTCTCTTAAAATAAACCCAAGAATAAATAAACTAGAAAATACCAACACGAATAACAACATCGATAAATTATCAGAATATTCTGTCAACTATAAATGGGCATCATGCATAGTGCCTAATTATTACTTAGTATAACTTATATAAACACCGCAATCTAATGTGGTTTTCATGATATTAATAATGTAAAGTGCATGGTTCCCATCTCTAGTGTTAATATTAGATAACTTCATAAATAATATTTATGACAATGTATAAAAAATTAAGATAAATATTACAACTGTATCTTGAGGAATCTTATAATAACCAATTACGTTTCAATTATAATCGATATCTTGAAGGTGCCACCTGTAATATTTATAAAAAGCATATTCATAGTTTGAAAACAACAGCATGAACTTTATTGATAATCAAATCAACATCTGCAACACCCTATTTATCAATCCTCCACTCCTTAATTATTTAACAGTAACGAAAAAAACAGATATATTACAGATAAAAAATCATCATTAAAAGAATAAAATAAAAGGAAAAATTAAATCATATTATAAAGTTAATGATAATATTCATCATATATTTCAGTTCTTTTAAATCAACTTACAAATTTAAAATATCGACTTCAATGTAAAATAAAAAATAAAAGCCAAAAAAAATAATAACCAATTTTTGATAACCCACTCATTACAATATTAATTTACAATGATAATCATTACAATCCCAATCATTGTTATTAGGACCTGTTCTTGTGCAATTACGACAATCAAAGAAACATGTAACTCCACATGAAAACACACAAAATTGCTTTATATAAGCCACGGGATTTAGTAAGTTGGCGCAAGTTCCATCACAGTTATTGCCGGTCGAACCAATTAGAGGAAATGTACATGATGTGACATTACAAGTATAAAGTTTATCAATTTCATTTGTACATTGAATATGGCAAGTAAGGTTATCAGAACAGCCAGGAGGATATGCCAGACTAAACCATGATGGAATTCCAAAAAATAAGATCAGAAAAAATAACTGCTTATCCATTTGATATTAACAATTGATAAAATTTTAAATATACTAAACTTGAATATATAGCCAAATTTGTGTAACGTGCGGTCAAAATTTATTACGTTACATTAAATTTGATTTTATCCATCTATCTCATAATCTAGTGATCAAATCTTGTCATTTAACAAACGAAACAGGATAAACCGTCGATGTTACACGACTGATCCTTCACCCGTGCAACATATAAAAAAATCATTTACAATACCAGATCATTCCTCTAGTATGTAGCATAGCGAACTTTTATTGTGATTGGCTGATTTTTGTAGATAATCTCGTCATACTAAAGTATTATTAAAATAACGATTTTCCGTTACGAGAGTCACAAGAATTGATTCGCAGCCACGAATATGAATTCGCAGAGGTTGTGATATAAATATTTAGAAACTATA